AGCAAAAATTCCCAGTCAATTGAACCGACAGCGTGAAACCGATCTTGGATGTAAAGTGTTACTGCCAATTGGAAACGAAACCGATCGTCCGCCGTATTTATAGTTAACGATGTCGAGCGATGGGGACGAGCCTCGGCCGCCGGAGAGCACCTTCCGACGTATCTCGATGCGGCCACGAATATTCAGCCGCAAGGTGGCTGTTCTCTCCAACTCAAGCCACGACTTCCGTGTCTTGCAGAGTTCGTCACTGTTGACCCTTATGTCCAAGTATTCAAACGAAAACCTACTTCGACGACGGCCGCTTTGCGCTACCGACGGAACGAATACGTGGTTGCTGGCGAATGGCACAATAGGATCTCTGCACGGTGGAGACACTGTGATTCACATCAGCGGCCTGGCTCATCGGCACGCCCAAGTATGTGTCCTTGATGGTATATCGCTGCCTGAGCTCACAGGTGAGTATAGATCACGAGCAAACACGATTCGTACTACATCCAGTCGAGCCCGAATTGCATGACGTATTTGAAGCTTCCGTTCGGCACTGGGCGACGTGGGTTTCCGATTTCAGTGGGTGACACGATTGAGATGGGCCGTGGATTTGTCGTCCGAGTTGTGGAGATGGAAGTGAAAAGAGTCCCAGTCGTGGAAAAGACCGACAAACCGCCGCCGCCACCAAAGGAAACGCAGTTTGGCCAAGCCGTCGACATCCGCACCCACGTGTGCATTCGCAATCTGGCGCAACAAACCAAGCTCACAAAGACTGCAACGATCCTCGAGCCATCCAAGCTCGTGCTTCAGCTCCACCACAGAGAGCCCAACGATGTTGTGCGCGTGGTGACGTCCCCAAAACACACGCTCTGGTTCGGCAGCTTACACTCATCCGACATTATCTGCCCAACCCTCGAACGACTTCATGCCAAAATCGAGTTTGATGGGCAGAGATACATCTTGATGGACTTTAGCAACGAAACGCGTATCGTCGTGGGCGAGATACCCGTGCAAATTGTGGCCGACGACGTGTTAGTAGTCGGCGACAACCAGTTCAAGATCATCGAGTTCAAGGACGACGCATTGTCGACTCCTGTGTTGGACATCCAAATCCTTCGAGTGTCCACGCGAAAGCACTCGCACACAAAAAAGTACATGCCGATCCGACTCGACTTGCCCCCAAACAAGCTCCTCCACGTTGGTCGATCCCCTCGTACGCACTCTTGTGCGTGTGCCACGACCTCATGGCGGCGTTGATCGTAGAATGCAACATCACGCTGTCCAACTACACGATGAAGCTCGTCCAGTTTAGTATTCTGTACGAGAACGATCGCGTGTGGGTGATGCCCCTCAACGGCACGCTAAACCAAGGCCTGTATCGTCTGTTGTCAAGGAGAGAACGCCAGCACGAAGAGACCGTAAATGGTACGAGTGGTGTCCTCCAAAAATGGCCGACCGGAAGCTCACCACCATGCTCGTCTTCAAGGCACTGTTGTTCCGGTCGTGTCGACTACGAGCCCCGCCGTGCAGCTCCATAAGGACTCTGTATTCAAAATCGGGTGCTCCGAGATCGAAGTGGTGTACGTAAAGCACCAGCCGAGCTCGGTGTCGCCCGACACGCAAGACCAGATGAACGACCGATACAGCATCCTCCAAAATCTGCCGTGGTTTCTACTCAGCCAAAACCTACCGGGATTTTTCGCCGAAACCGGGCACTTGGCCTCGCACTGCAAAGTCCAAACGGTCGCCGCGGGAGAATACATTTATGGCGAGGGCGACGATGCGACGCGAGCGTTTGTGGTCATGCGCGGGAGCGTCCTTCTCTTCCGATCCAAAGGTGCTGTTGTCGCAGTCCGGTGAGACACGTGATGTGTGCATGATGAAGCAGACAGCGGGACGGACAAGTGCTACATTGAGAGCGTCGAGCGGGGTGGGTCCTTTGGCGAGATCGCTATTACCAAGCCCCATGCGAAATACACAACCAACGCACTTGCACGATGCAACGTTGTGTGCATGGTCATCGTCGCCAGGTACCAATCTCTCGGCGTTGACCGATCCAGGCAGTGCTTTTGACCAGGGACTGGGCCGACTTCTGCGCCCCGTACCGAGACTTGTATCTCTTACCTCTCCAACACGGCTTGCATGAGACGACCCTCGTCGAAGCCCTGGCGGCGCTGCCGTACATGAATCAGGTGCAAATGTTTTTCGCCCGATCACGAGTACTCACGCACTGTGTGTGCAGATGTCTCCCGCCTTGCAGCAACGTGTGGCGCTCAAGATGACCCGCAAGTCGTTTCCACCACACTCGTCGCTGTACCACGATCCGTGCCGCATCTTCTTTGTGTCGCAAGGCACGATCGAGATCAAGTTTGACGACGACGTGATCGAAGTGCACTCGACGACGTTTCTGTTCGATCGAGCCACACATACCGTCCCATCTCTTGTCGATGTGAGATGCCACAGCGGAGGATGCTTGCCTGACGTGGCTGTAGATCACAGCCATCGACGACGTCGAGTGCCTCGTTCTGTCTGCTGAGGATTATGCGAACACAATCGGTCTCACTCTCCAACACCGCCGCGTCGAACACCCCCTCGCCTTCATCACGGCCTTTGACACCACCCCTCAGCACGACAGCTCGATGAAAAAGGCAACGATTCGCACCGAATCACGTGGGGCTTCCAAACAACGATAGGTCCCAACTGACTGTTCTATTGCAGTGACCATGGCCAAACCCAAGCGAAAATCATCGTTGATACGAGCCAAGGAGCTATGGACGGGCGTCGCGACCGAAGACGAGGTCCAGGAATCTCCCCGACAAGAGCCTCCCATATTGGCGCCGCCTACCGACTCATGGAGGCAGAAGAAGCGCAATGCTGCGATGCTCCAGAGCCGGATAGAGTACCTCAACATGGAGCCATCCATCGAGTCTGCGCTCGTGCTGTACGTCCTTGCTGGTCCGAATCGCGGGGACGTTCATATCGTACGGAATTCGCTCACGATCGGCAACGCGCTCGGGCAAAGCACGATGAAGATTCGTGATCAGGCGCTGTGTGGACAGCACGCGCAAATCTTTCATCGAGATGGTACACTTGTACGGCCTCGCACACATTGCCTCAACGATGGCACGTAGGAAAATACTGGCTGCAGGACTGCAATAGCCACAGCGGAACGTTCGTTCGACTCACGGACGACGAAGCGTGCTGCCTGCATGTCGGCGACACGCTGCTGGCGGGCGACACAGAGTTCACCGTGATGGGCAGTCCCGTACTGGCACCGAAAACCTCCAACTCGTCGTGTTGTGTCACTTAACCAACACGAACACCTTTTTTTCCATCGCAAACTCGACCTGGGTCTCCATCTCGACCACAAACACGCCTTGGATTTGCTGCAGGCCGGCGACCAACGGCAGAAACTCGACATCAACTGTCAACGTCGAGTTGCCTTGGACAAACCCGACGTTCTACATCCAAATCCGCGTAACACACAACAAAAAAAACAGCACTGGAACGCGCACCTGATGCGACACGGAGCTGCACAGGATGCCGAGCATCAAGTCGCGCCGCAACTGAAGCTGCAAGTGCATTGCACGTGTGCCGTTGTTTTGGATAACGACAGAGGCGAGAAAGGGCTGTCCGACGTGGGCATGCACCGGGGTCGGCAACAGAACGGTCACAACTGCTTCTTTCACGCTACCCACCTGTCGATATCGCATGAGTCGACGGACGAGGAAAACTCGTCACCTTTCGAATGACTGGTGGAGTCTGCATGCTCCCAGACTCGCCCATCGCCGACTTCCACTTGACTTCGAGTCGTCCTGTCGTTCCCGTGAGAAGATAATGAAACTCGTCGAGCCTCACCTAGGTTTAGCGTCCCCAGAGACATATCCAAGTGATCCGCTGTGACTTTGAACGTGGATTGCACGGCGTCGTCGGGAAATATCAGGTTGCTGGACCTGTGGACGACGCCATCACAGAGGTCGGCGCGAGGGCGAGGGCGTACTGCTTGGGTGGGGCTAACTCTTGCGCTTTGAAAGGCGGCGACGGCAGAAACAAAATCGAATCAGCATGCAGAGGGATCTGCGTGATGTTTTGCACCTTGGCTTCGACGAACGACTCGTCCTGTGGGGAGACATACCATGAGGCATGTCAAGTGCAAAGTAACGACCTGGATCAGGACGTGCTTGAGGGTAATCGTCAATGGATTCAGGACTTGGAAGCGATAGAACTTTCGAAGGGATTTTGGTTCAGACGTCACCGGATCCACGTACGACACTCCGACGCGCAGCCTACGCGGCCCTTCCTGTCAAGCATTCCAAGATGTTGGAACACACGTGTGGACGCCGACTTCGTTCAGCTCGAACTCGACAGCCATGTCCAAATTGGACCCCGCCGGCAAAACTGGCATGGGATTCATGGGCGGCGTGGTGCCCCCACGAAGCAGGCGTTTGTCGCTGAGGTCGCTTCGAGTTGTGGGAGTTTGCAGCTTTGCCTGAACCGTGTGCAGAACATATATCGCATTATAAGAGACCACATAGCGTGGACGATGTACCGTTAGACCAACTTGATTCAAGTCACACGCGAATTGGTTGATCACGCTGATGTAGCTGCTGAAGGTTTCGCCGAGGTAGATGTTGCTGCGACACAAGATGATGGGGTTGATGTGAGGAATGGGACGTACCCGAAGCTATCAGGGAGAAGGAGCATGTTGGACAGCGCGAATTCACGGCGGTAAGACTTCTCAATGCACAGACGGGGCTTGTAGAGACGCATGACCTTGAGCGTCGGCTGCGACGTCGTCGATGGCGTCGCCATGGCACCTACCTGCCTGTCCGGATATCACTCTCATAGTGTGAGGATTTTTTAAATATAATGGCAAATATTACACAAAATTTTCACGAAATGCACCGTCAAAGTAGTAGTATTAGGGTCCACCAGGGCCGCCGCCTCCACAACAGCCATGAGCTTGACACAGGAGTTGCGAACAGCCTTTTTACTCTGAGCAGAGCTATGGCATAGGCGCTGTAGAGCTGGCTCAACTGAACAGCGCAGATGGCCGTGAACAGGCTACAACGAGTGGGCGAAAACTCCATTGTTGCTATCATAGGGCGACACAGCTCATCGATCTTTTTTGGACACGAAGAGGACACCGTTCTTGAAGCGTCCTTTCGTGGCCTGCGTGCCAGCGTCGGACTTGGGCCGCCTGGACACTTTGGCCTGGAGCTTCTTGCCGTGAACGACCCCAGACGCTTTTTCCTGTCCATGTCGGTCAGCTTACGGGTATGCATTGGGATCAAACGGACGAACCTCAATCACGCGTTTCTCTAGTCGCTGGGCACCCTTTTTTTCAATGGCCATCATGATATTGTACGGCATCTTTGTGGATTTCGGCGCCTACAACGAGGTTTGGAGCATCATACGTAGGCAGAATATGAACAGACCTTTCCTCCCAGGGCAACTACGCGCTCCAATTCCTTCTTCTTCTTGTCCTTGCCAGTGGCGTTCTTCATATCTACATCAGGTCGTTTACACATGGCTTGGGGAGAATAACGGAATCACTTACTGAAGCCACGGACGTCGTCGACAGCCTTCTTGAACTGCTCATCGACTTGCTGGTTTCTTGACAACTCCTCACCTTGGCTCTTTTTCGTCCGCGGCACAGCTTCACGCCGGCCGGACGAGATCGTCGGGCACTCGAACACCTGGACAACTCGTGTCGGCGGCATCGTCGAATTGACTGGATCGCTTACAATACTGTATCATTTTATATTTCAACCATCTCGTTGGAAAATTACTTGGTTCGAGTATGAAGGGGACGAATTGATTTCAAGAGAACTCTATTTTTAGAGATTGGGAAGGACATAGGAAGGCAATTCAGCACATGATGCCTCGCAGCAGCACGGGATCACGCGGTGCCTCGGGGTACAGCGCCTCATGCCATCCTCACTGTTGACTAACTCAGCGGTCGAAGGGACCTTGCACCTTTGAAGAAGACCATGTTGTTGTCCAACAACGTACCGCCATGGAGATGTCGGTGTACGACTGCTAAGTTTGGTTCGGTAGGCTACAGCGGTTGAGGATGTTCGCAAGGTCACGTCGAATCGCGATGACGATGTACGACATGTTACAGGTGATTCAGGGTCATTGACATTAGCCTGCTACGTAGAACGTATCTGTCTGCTCTCGAGCAAGTTCGAGATCCAGCACAAGCTCTAGAGCTTCATTGTCATCGACGTCGTCGTCCATGGTGTCTGCATCATGCAAGTCCACCTCCAGCGGAAGCAAAACGCGGGAAGGAACGTCGATAGCATCATCGCGGAGCCGATCTTCGTTGTCGACAGGTGCTGTATGCGCCTGAATTGTACAGCCCTGCCAACTCGTTTTACTTTGGCTATAGTTACGTCGATTCAGGCGTTGGAGCTTCGAAAGCTCGAAATTGAGGCTCAACTGAAGGAAGTCGAGTCCGCTCTGGAGCAAAAACAGACCAGCGGTTCCTCTCAGGTCCCTCCTCGGGATCGTAAGGAACGACCTTGCTCACATTGGAACAGGTTCGCCGCCCCTTTGCCCTGTTGCCACGATCCAGATAGCCTACGCAAAGAGTGAGTAGAAACACCCGAGTCATGGCATTCAATAGCCAGCTACAACAGGCAATGAAACTTGGCACAGGGTTGCGTTGTTTGATGTTTTAGATCCGGTGATAAACTCGATTTTGTTCACGTTTGGGAAACAAATACAATCAGCCTTGGCCATCGTGTTTGAGATGGCCATGGTTGTTGAGCCTATTGCGGTGACGTACGTAGGATGACACGGGGGACTAAGGCACCATCGACTCTACCTGCACTACGTCTCGAAACTATCACCATGGTGCTTGATGCTTGGAATTGAATCTCCCTGAAGTAAATTCTCTGCAACAAGTGTCCCTCCAATATGCCATCAAAACCCACAGTTCTATCATCAAATCCAACTCGACAGTGTCCCCCCATTTTGAGGCATACACAACACTTGTGACAATTCGTTCATGCATATGAGGTAGTCCACTCAACGTCAAAAATGAAAACTTACCTACTTGCCGACACATTGATGCATGGCGCGCCTACAGTCAAATACTACTCCTTTATGACGTTGAGCATATCGACAAGTATGGATTTCTACGTCATCCCATGGTATGAACAAAGATCTTCAACCAAAACGCATGTTTGATAGAGCATTGCCTGGGCACGCTTCGTGAAGCGTAGGGCAAGAACATGTCGCCACAATTTTGCAAGAAATATGAGCTGCTGAGGGCCCGCGATAATTCGACACTTGGCGCTCTCGACGGCAGGTCGAACCACTTGGCCAATTTTCTGTAGGTGAATACCAATAATAATGAACTCAGGTCAACGTTTCTGTTCGGGCAAGCTCAACGTTTCCCGCATGACTGGGTCTCCCCGACAATGCAGGAAGCCGCAAATATCCGCCATCCAGCTCCATGATCTTGCTCGTGCGCGAAGAAACTCGTGATGGCGCCGGGCCAGACGCGCGTCGACGTGCACATCTCGCTTGGAAATCTTGTGGCTCGAATTGCCCACCTCCTTCTTCAACTTCATCCTGGGGGTAGGGAAACTTGACCAATCAGAGAGGTCGCCCAGAATATATCTGCCATCATTTTCGAAACAACCGCCATGACGGCCCTCTTGCGCCGCCTCCCTCTGGCCCCTACCAAGGTCGCCTTTTTCCTCCGCCATTATGGAGCTGCCAACCACCGCTTCCACTCCAGTGAAGTGGCCGAAGATGCACCGAATCGACCCAAAGTCCGGGCCGACTTCCCAACGTTCTCACTCGGTACGATGTCCAGGGACATTTACGTTGTTTGACGTCATGCCTGCCTCGCAGATACGTTTGCGCTTCGCCAGTTCGATGACCCTGCCTACCCTGGAACGATTATCAACTACGATAAGAATGCCTTCGAGGCCAAAATCAACGAGTTCTTTGAAGCTGGCGAGTGCTCGCTTGTCGACGGATACGCTCCATTCTGCAAGCATCTCTTCGTCCCAAACTTCATCAACGCCCGCATCCCGACAGTGACGATCACAAACAAGTCAGCGCACTTGCTCCAATCGGGCTACATTTCCCGCGTTCCCGAAGAACTGCCCGTGTACGTCGGTCATCCTACGGATTGTTTGTCACCGACAACTATTGTATCAGGTTGACGCGATGGTTTCCTGGTCACAGCGTGACCCCCGAGACTGCCAAGTACCTCGACATTGTGTTATACAGCCGTGAGCAAGTTCGTTTGGAGAATGTGGCCATGGGAAAACTCATCGACTCTGTCGACTCGCCTTGGCGCATCATCAGTATCAAGGCCCAACTCGTCGACTACGAACTCCCCATGGAACCCATGACCCTCCTTCGAAATGCGCTCGGCACCGATGCTGGTGGATCCGGCGTGCCTCTGGACAAGGAAAAGTACCTCGAATCAGTCGAGTACTGGGCCCAGCACGCCCACGTTAAGTACCACTAAAACAAGCATTGTGTAGTTCATGCTGCCGTCGCGTCCTATCGTGGTCTCACACCTATTTTTATAGCTGTCCTACATGAGAAAAGCACAAAACAATTGCCGAAATGCAGCCGGAATCGAGTGCATCAAAATTCATCATAAATGATGACATGGGCATATTGCAGACCAATCTTACAGTGAGCGACGGAAAAATGTCCCCAGTGGTCCTTGAAAAATATCTTGAAATTTGTATGTGGAATAAAATTACACTCGACTAGAATTGACAGTATTTTTGTTCAAGTTGTTGTTGAATTGAAAACCTGGGGCTTTTAAGCCAGCCAATAATAATCGAGGAACCAGCCAAAATAATTCTTACGCCCTCAAAATTAAGAAAAATTGCCCTTGCGTTCCTGGTACTCTCTCTGTCCCACAATACTTGCGCAGTTTCCAGGAGGGGGGAAATGACACGTCATTATATTCGCAAGTGATTTTCAAACTATAATGTCGTCTGCCATTATTCGAATTTCACGTGTTTCATTGGTCCATGTGAAAGTGCGCGCCGAGTCCTGTCAAGCCGTGTGTCAGCGAGGGAAAAATATAGCCAAACCATCACAAAAAGTGTTCGCAAAGTTTGTATACATTGAATCATATAAATGCAGTGACCAACATTCGAAATGCGGGTCAACCAGCGTGACCTGACGAACGAAGACCGCGAGGCCATCCTTCGGGAGATTCTGTTCCAAAGCAGTACGAAATCGTTGGCTCGACTTCCGAAAAGCCTTGCGCAGTTGCTGGCAGAGAAGTACAACTGCCATGCCTCAACCATCCGGCGCGTATTCGCCCGAGCGAAGGAGCAGGGAGTTGCTG